CGCCCCTGCCCAGGGAGCCCCGGGCTCCGTGAGACCCCCCATCTCCCATCACACCTTCAAACAGCCGAGGCAGGGTGCTGCCAGCAGAAAGCAGCCTCCTCCCCGGCTCAATGGCTCCTTTCTAGCCCGGCTGCGGCAACAAAAGGCCCTTTGTGGGCTCGAGGGTCCCCGGGGGCAGAGTGCTGGCGTCCTCCCCGCTTCGCTGGGCCCCTGCCAGCCCCCTGCCCGGCAGAGGTGTGCCGCCTGCCTCCCCCACCCGCATGGGGGGAGAGGATGGGCCGGCTGGGAAGCGAGGCATTTCGGGAAAAGGGGGTCTGGGGAGGGGGGCGAGCGAGCCCTGCGACGGGAGCCTGCCTGGCCATGCTGGGTTGGCGGTGGGGAGCTCTGCTCCGGGGCCAGTGGTCCTGCCTTGGGGGGGATCGGTGCTAGCTGCAGCCATGGCCAGATTCCCCCCCCAGCCTGGTTCACCCCAGTGCCACAGTGGGGTGGGGAGCTGCGGCTCCGGGGTGGGGGGCATGCCCAGGGACACATGGGCTCAGCCACAGGTTTTCATCCAGAGATGCCAAGTGGCATGTTGACACTGGGCAATACCACCAAGCCACAGGAAGTCCATAGGGACGGAGGGGTGGGTTTTCCAGGAAATCCATAGCCCTGCCTATGACCCCTTTGCAGAGCTGCACCCCCAGCAGAGGAGCTACATGGTCCCCAGGTGCTCCAGGCTTTGCTTTTAAACAAAAACATGCTTGGATTTAAGTATGGGTACAACATAAGCCCACCCAAAAGGCAGGGAGGGGACAAGACAAGTCTTGGGGCACATGTGTGGCTGCAGCATGATGGCGGGTGCAAGAGCCCTGCAGGGAGACCTGACCTGAGCTGTGCAGGCAGAGCCGGGTGCAGCACCCCAAAATCCTGCCCTGATGTCCATGAGGGCTTGGGGGCTTCTGCAGGGTGCTGCCAGCATTCCTCGGAGGGAGGCAGGCTCAGGGTTTTTTCCAGGCAGAACCGTGGGTTTTTTTGAAAGTGAGCCTCTTGGCCTCTGGGGAGTTGGAGGATGGGAAAGGTGCAGCCCTGCAGGCCCTGCCAGCTCCCCGCCATAGAAAGGCAGCGAGCAGAGCCCGTGTGCAGGCAGCTTCTGCCTGATGTGTGGGTCTGTCCCCTGTGGGTCCCGGCATGGGGGCTGCTCCAGCTGGCTTGTCCCATGGTTGGCCATGGTCTTCCAGGCTCTCGGCCTCCTTTCAGTGGAGCACATCCCACGGGGTCTCACCAGCATCCTGATGACTCGTAGGACACCCTCTGCATGAACTTAATATAGAAAGTCTTCTACATGCCATAAATGCCCCCCACGCTGCGTCTGCGGCCCCTCGTGGCATGGAGGCTGGCACAGCCACAGCAAACTGCTGCTTCTTTAGATGGAGAAGCTTGTCTCTTTGGGAGGTGCGGGAGGTGTGTGCATGCTTGGGGATGGCCACGGGCCTCCGTGTGCATCCACTGGCGAGGGCTGGGGCATTGATCCTGCAAATGCAAAGGGTTGGCGCCGGCTGGAACCTCGTCAGCTGAGGGCTTGGGAAGCTCTTTTCTGCCCCAGCGCTGGCTCTCCTCCCCATCACCCTTCCCTGGCTACTCTTGGGGGACCTCGAGCCCAGGGGCTTTGTTTGGGGGGGGCTCTGTTAAGAAGCCCTGGGGGGATGCAGGTCTCAGCCTCCCAGCTCCCACCTCTGCATCCTCCCCAAGACCCCTGCAGCGAAGTCGCGTTGCAGATGGAGCTGGAGGCCATCCCACACGGGGAGATTTTGGGGGGCACAGGCATTGCCTCCCCCCTCCCGAAGCACCGCCCTGCTGCGGTGTGCTCACCCCCCTCCCGCCTCCAGCTGTAATTAGCAGCTTCATCAAGGTCAGGCAGAGTCGTGCAGGCTCCAGACTGTAAATTTACCACCAGCGGTAATTAAAGCGTGATTGCAGCGGGAGCGGCTCGGCCGGGCGCTGCGGGAGATGCCGGCTCCCTGCCACAGCCCTGGGCTGCAGTAAGCAGGGGTGGGGGTGGCTGGAGGGACAGCCTCTGTCCTCTGCCACAGGGACACGGGGACATACCTCTTGGACCCGACATGGTCCTCCCACCTCTCAGCCCATGCTTCCTCCAGTGACCCCCGCTCCAGCTCAGTTACAGCCCTTCGAAGCCTCCTTCTGCCCCAGCCCTAGTTGCATTCCTTTCTGCTGAGTCGGTGTAACCCAACCCAGTGCCGCTTTCGGGGAGGGGGTGGTGGGAGACCCTCCTGCCGCCGGGGTCTGCGGGGCACTGGGGAGAGCCAAACCTCTGGCACGACGGCCAGAGCGTGGGCAATCGCACGGCAGCGGGATTGGGGGGCTGGTGGGTTTGCTGTGCTCTTTGGTGGGGGGCTCTGGGGGAGAGGGGATGGTGGCAGGAGGCTCCTGGTGCGTGCTGGCCCATCTCCAGCCCATCCGATCCCGCTCTGCGGCACAAAGCATCCCCCCCCTTCCAGGCTCTCCCCATCGCCTGCAGGTCAGGGTGCTCCTCACCTAGAAACGTGGTGAGGCAGAAACCGCTGCCTGCTTCCCCCCATGCAAACTGTGGCAGCAGCTCTCGCAGGTTTAGGGGTGCCAGCGGCCTTGGGTGGTGGGTTACATCCCCCAGCATCCCCTCGCGCAGCCCAGTCCCCCTCCATGAGCCCACCAGCCTGCCCCAGCGCTGCTTTCCCGGTGGGGTACAAAATCAAACCCAAATGTTTCCACCAAGCGCCAGCTCAGCCCCCAGCAGCGCTGGGAGGTGCCGAGTGTGGGACAACCGTGTGAGCTGAGGACTTGGCCAGTGGGGCTGGGGTTGGTGGCTGTGCAGCACCCCTCTGCCCCCCATTCTGCCCCAAATACCGTGGGGAGCAAAGCACCGGGGTGGCTGCGTGGCTGTCAGGAGCTGCAGAAAGTGCTGGAGGATGGTGGGTGGGAGAGGGGACGCTGTGAACAGGCAGTGGTGTGAGAGGACAGTTTGGGCGTGGGAGATAAGATTACAGCCAACAAAGCAAAGCCTTCAAAGCCTGATCCCTTTGAGAAAGGTGGGAGACTGAGAGGCAAAGCAGAGGCTGCTCCTTGGGGGGGGCACTGGCTTGTGGGTGCCTGCTTTGAGATGCAGATGGGGCAGTGGGAATCAGCTGTGTCTGCAGGATCTGGGGGAAGACAGCGCCATTTCCAGGGCCTATAGCTGGTGTGTGGAGGTGGATGGTCCCTCCCCAGGTGGGTCAGCACCCGCTGGGTGCAGCTGGTGGGATTTGCTGGTGGCTTTCCAGTGCAGAGCTGCAGTCCCTGAAGCTTTCCCAGCGACTGTGAATCATAGTGCTTGAAATCCCAGCAGCAAAGAGACTGGGAGGCAATGCACCGCGGAGGTGCGTGGGGCTGAACACATTTGTCAGCCCCACGAGCAGGTTCTTGGCTCCAGGAAAAGGCAGATTTAGGCAGGAAGGTTGCACGCACTCTTTGCATCCTTTCCAGCACCAGGTGTGTGGTTGGACTTGAGCCTGTAGCACCCATGCAGCAGGGGAGAGACGCGGGTGCTTTCTGCTCGGAAAAACTCATCTGGTTCCACTAAACCACAGTCCATATCAGAATCCCCTCCCAGGCTGCTCTCACTGGTTGCAGACCTGTGCCCCACTTGGTGGTACTGGGGCCCATCTCCACTCGTCCTAGCTGTAGGTAGGCAGGGAGGAGCAGGGCTGAGCATGACGCCTCAGCTCCCGCCCAAAACCCGCCTTGGCAGCTTGGCCACTTTGCTTTGGCTCCAGGCTACGACTTGTGACTCGCATCCCAGAAGTATTTTTAGGCAGAAATCCACCAAGCGGGAGAGCTCTGGAGAGGATTTGGCCCTGCTAGCCCTGACTAAGCAGGTTTTCTTGGGCTCAGTGCCTGTGGGTGGATGCGCATGTGGCCTGGGGGGACCAGTGGTAGCCCCAGGAGTGTGGCTGGTGGCTGCATCCGCCTCCAAGGCTGCTGGGGTAAATGCTGTCTCTGGTCCCTTTGCTGTGGGGACAGGTCATCCCAGCTGGCAGAGCTGAGGGACAGGCTGGTGCCGATGTTTTCTTGGGAGTCAGAGAAGGGCTTGGCTGCCCCAGGGTTTTCCCGAGCCTCCTCTCCCTGCAGACCTCGCTGCCCCAATGGGCTGTGACAATTTATGGATGAAAAATGGTGCCACAGTCCTTAAACATGCCACGAGCTGGGGATTCATAGGTGGTGCGGCGGCCTCTGCTAATGGATTGAATAACCTGGCTGTCACCTTCAGGGAAAAAACTACAGCCCTGTTCTGTGTGAAATATATTAACTTGGTCCTTGCTTAGTGTTTAATTGTGATGGAGCCGGAGAGTCCTGAGCTGAAGCTCATGGCTGCCACAAGCTCAGTCCAGCCCTTGTTTATGGCCTTAACGCTTGAGTAGCCAAATGAAAACCTGGATTTGAACCGAAAATGCCAGAGGGGAGATGCGTGCGAGGGATTCAGGAGTCACCAAAGCTCACCCAGGGGAGCGGAGCCCCTCTCAGTTGAGTTTCCTGGGCTGCCCCTGCACCTGGAACCACTGGAGGTGGGTTGGGGTCGTCCCCCTCGGCGCCCCCCACCTCCATCTGCCTCTGCCCTGTAGGGATGGACCTCTCGGCCAACCAAGACGAGGAGGGTGACCAGGAGACCTACCAGCTGGAGATCAACAAGGACACCAAGAAATGCGCCTTCAGGACCTACACTGGGAAGTACTGGACCCTCACCTCCAACGGGGGCATCCAGTCCACTGCCTCCACAAAGTGAGTCCCCTGTCCCTGGCAGCTCGGGGCCATCCCTGGGCTTTGGGGACCTCCCAGAGGGATCCAAGGGGGATTTTTCAGCCTAGGCGCTCGCCCCAAAACACTTTTCAAGCGAAGGCAGCAAATTCCCTGGAGAGCCAGGGCTGGGTCAGGGCTTGCCGCCCACAATGCTCGGGAAGTCCCTCGGGCCACGTAATCCTTCCCGGCCAGCTGGGGCTGTCGAAATGCTTTACCCTGCAGTTCAACCCTACGCTTGCTGAGAGCCGGGCGGAAACCCCAAAACTGCATTTGGCTGGCTGCCTGCCTCCTGCCTGCAGGGCGAGGGCTTCCCATCGGGATGGCCACCGCCGTGGGGCTCATCCCTCAAAACTGCATCAAATTGAGGCCTCCTGAGCCAGCCGTGGCCCTTTCCGAGCCAGCGGGGTGGCACTGGCAGGGTCTCCGTCCGTTGCATCCCACTGACCACCCTCTCTGCCCCCGCAGGAACGCGAGCTGCTATTTCGACATCGAGTGGTGTGACAAGCGCATCACCCTGAAAGCTGCCAACGGCAAGTACGTGACGGCAAAGAAGAACGGGCAGCTGGCAGCCTCCATGGAGACAGCTGGTAAGGGACCCCCTTAGGGACCCCTGCCCCACGCTGGGGCAGCAGAGGACGAGCAAAGTGTCTTCCCCTTCCCCAGCCAGGCTCCTCTTCCAAGTGATGGTCAGGGATGCAGGCAATAAGTTTTCTTAATGATGGTTTCACGTGCTGTGAGATGGGGGGACAGATGGGGTAGGTGAGAAATGGGTGGGGGATACAGCCCACTCTCCTCGCTGCTGCCTGCCAGGCTGTGCACTGCCCTCCCCAGGCCGCTCTCACAGCCCCTCTCCCCTGCCGTGCAGGTGAGACAGAGCATTTTGTGATGAAGCTGATCAACAGGCCCATCATCGTCCTCCGCGGCGAGCACGGCTTTATTGGGTGCCGGAAGGTGACCGGCACCCTGGACTCCAACCGCTCATCCTACGACGTCTTCCAGCTGGAGTTCAACGATGGGGCCTACAACATCAAGGGTGAGTTCCTGGGAATGGGTGTGGGCCAGGGGGGTGATGGCCATTGGGGTCCCCATGGTGGCTCACAGGGCCACCTTGTCCCCCTCTCCCTCTGCCTGCAGATGCCACTGGGAAGTACTGGATGGTGGGGAGTGAGTCGTCCGTCACCAGCAGCAGCGACACCCCTGTGGACTTCTTTTTTGAGTTCTGCGACTATAACAAAGTGGCTATCAAAATCAATGGCAAATACCTGAAGGGTGACCATGCCGGGGTCCTCAAGGCATCCGCCGACACCATTGATGCCTCCACCCTCTGGGAATATTAATGCACTTTAGCGTACCTCCCATTGCCAACTTTTCTTTCCCCTCCTTCGTCCTTTTTTTCTTTTGAGTTTTGTTTCTCTCTGTAAAAGGGTTTTCAGACTGGCTTGCCCTTCCCTCCTGCCATAGAGTCAGGGTGTTATGTGGGAGGTGGGTCTCCATAAATCTCTGTAAGAACTGGAAAAGTGATGGGGCAGCCTGCCTATAGCTTTGTAGAGGGGTCTGTTTCTATTCCCCCCGCCCCTCCAGGTTTGCTAGGCTTGGAAACTGCCCTACCCCCCCCCTCCTGGCCCCAAGCATCACCTTAGGTAGTTCATTTTCCTCTCCTCGACTGAAAAAAAAGGGAATAAGATCACCTCTGTGCTCACTTCTGCCATATCAGCGCTGGCACCGCCTCAGTCTGTGCTGCCAGTGTCCCCCGGAGCACCTGTCCCATCCCGCCTGCTCCAGGCAGGGGCAGAGCGATGGTGCTGGGCTCAGGCGGCTCTTCCTGGCTCCTCCCCAGCAGCTTCTCTCTGCTCTTGGCTTTCGGGGCAGGATCCATCCCCAGCTGAGCTGTAAGAGGTGACCTTACATATCACAGCATTCCTGGGGACAGGGCTGGCGTGTGCTGGCACATGTCCCCGCAGAAGAGCCAGCAAGCTGACCTCCCCTGCGCCCCCCCTGCCCCATGCACCTGGAAATGATTTTTTAGGGTGATCCCGTCTGGAAAGCCTCAGCCTTTCATCTCATGGAGCCCCACACTCCTTGTCTCCCTCTGCCCCTCCTTGTGCTTCTGGCTCTGGAGGAGCATCGTAGACCCAGATGGTGGGTCCAGCTTGGCAGGCACCTGCCCCGAGGCTGGTCCTGCTGCTGTGCCTGGGAGGGGGATGGTGTGGAGGGGACACAGAGCAAGCCTGTGCCAAGGTGGGGGCTTCATCCAGCCCATCCCCAGCACTGACGGGCTTTGGTCCCCGCAGGAGCCTGGCTTGGCCGATGCAACCTCCCCTGGGCGGTGGCTGGAAGCATAAACTGCAGATTTTGGTTTACAGAATAGAAAATTTCCTTAGCAAACTTTGCACAGTGATATTTGCTCAGTACCTTTGTTTGTGTTTTTTTTTTGTTTTTTTTTTTCTTTTTTTTCTCTTTTCTTCTCTCATAAAATACTGGAACAGTGAAACAAATCACTGAACACCTAATGCTGAATTAGGAAGTGCCCGTTCCTGCGGGCTCCCCCAAGGACGGCAGCTCCCGGTCCCGCAGCCCCCGGGGCACCTGGGCTCGGCTCTCATGCCATCGCAACCCTACTGGAAAAAAAAAAAAAGACCAAAACAGTATTTTTGTTAGTCTCTATTTATATATGCTCTCCATGGCACTGTGTTACCAGCTGTTGTCTGTACTAGGTCTGCATTAGAGTATAACGCTGTTTGTAACGGGTGATGCTGACGTGTTCGTTAGGGTGTTGAAAGGCACTTTATCCTTTGGGGCCTTCCCAGGGCTGGTATTTGCTCCCTGCAAACACACCGAGGAGCCTTTTCCCCCACCGCAGGCCCTTGCTGGGGAGGGGCAGCAGTGGTGTCCCCCTCCCTACCCCACACCAAGGGTGCTCGCTGGTGCCAAAACAGGGCCGGTCCCTACTGCCGGAGGCAAGGCAGGGGCTCGTCAGCCTTAAAGCCATGTGGAGGGCAAACCCTCCGTGGGAGCTTGGTGCTAAACTCTCAGCTGGGACAGCGAGTGACCTGTCCCCTGCCAGGGGGACAACTCCAGGCCGGGGTCCCTCGCCGGCGCAGGGGATCCCGGCTGGGACTCTACCTCGGCTCTGCGCTCACATCCAGGGGCTGCCTGCGCTCGCACAGGCACCGCCCGCCCGGGGACCACGATGCCCCTCAAAGGACCGAGTGTCTTGATGAAGCCCTGCGTGACCCTGTGACTTGGCACACACTTTTCGCTGGCCTTCACCCCCCCCTGCCCCCGCCCTGTGTCGCCTCCTCCCCGTCCCTCGTCGCAGTTTGAACCATGTAACTCCTGCTCCGGCTTCTGTGTGACACTAGGTCAACATCCCTCCTGTCTCCTCTTATCGGGTGTTGTGACTCTCTGAAAACATCTCACTCCGAAAATATAAGTTTTGGGTTTGTTCGGGTTTTGGGTTTTTTTTTTTAATTATTTTTTTTGTAAGTGCCATTTGTATAACTTAAAAAAATAGCTTCAAATGGAGAAAGATGAATAAAAAAATAAAACCTGCATTCGGATACAAGCAGTGGTGTGTGGTCTGTCAGGGCAACCACAGCTGGGGCTGCAACAGCCTTTTAGCGAGAGGAACGAATCTGAGCGTGGAGCATTTGGAGTGATGGAGCCTTTGGGGGAAAAATTGTTTCACAAAACTTAAGTTGGCTGTAGAGGGCTCAGATGAATTGGTGGGAAGGGAATGGTGACCAACAGACTCGTCTCCACCAAGGAGGTTCAAAGCCAAAGCTGGTTGGAGGCTGGGTCACCTCTCGAGATGCTCAAAGTGGCTCTAAGCCACCGAGCCCATGGGAATCACTGAGGATGTGCATGGGTCAGGGAGCTGCACCAGCAAAACACCTCTCCTGCAAACCAGCTCCTCCTGCTCTCGCAGCCGGGAGCAAAGCCGTGCCCCTATTCAGTCTGGCAGCGCTGGCTGCGGAGGAGTTGCTTTTTCTCCCCCACACAATGGCCCTGCGGGGGAGGTACCTGCTGCGAGGGACAAGCAATGGGATGCTGCTTTTGGGTGCGTGGCATGGTGGGGTCGGCACCAAGTCCCCTCCTCCTCTGCTCAGTGATATGGAGAAGTGGAGAAAAAAATCCCTAAAGATGGGAAGAAGGTGGGAAGCCCAGTGGCTGCAGTCCAGGCCAGGCGAAAACATTGCGTACGGCTAGAGGCGCTGGGGTGTCCAGGATGGGCCCCCACATCTCCCAAGACAGCCAAAACTAGGCAAAACTCAACCCAGTTTGATGATGGGGCCAACCTCAGTTGATGAAGACGGGGTGCAGCACATGCGTTATGGAGGGGTTGGGGGGGCCCGTCTCAGCACCTGCATGTCACCAGCAGGCTTTTAAAAGCTAAAGCTTGTTCAGTAGAAGTAAGGTTTGGGAAAGGGAGGGGGCCGCCTGACTCCACCCCCAAATGTTCATCCCGGGGGGAAATTTCAACTTCCGACATGGGTTTAAGCACCACAGCAAGGGCCGGAGGAAGGCAGGCAGGATGTCCATTCCTGACCATAGGGCGAAATTTAGGCTGCGCAGGAAATGCTGAGCAGCTCCGATGGCCACGCGCTTACACTCACCCCCCACAGTCACAGCTGCCTGGGCACGAGCAAACCGGGTTGTGACACCCAGCTGTGACACCCGTCCACGACACCCAGCCTGGGGAGGAGGCAGGGTGGGGGTTTGCAGGGCAGCAGCTCAGGAGCCGCTGAACCATGGCAGGGAGGACCCTCGTCCTTCCCCTCTCCCCCAGTTGCCAACTCACGTTTCCTTTCGCTTTTAAGACTGGATTCTGCATTTACCATCACTCCCGCCTCCCTCCAGCCTTTCCCCCCACGATGCACACATCCTGGTTTCCATTTAAAGGAACGACTGGAAACCATTTTCTATCCCATCCAGTTTTTCCTCGGCAGCATATGGAACATATTAAGCTTTTCCGGGAGGGTCAAATGGGCTTTGCCTTGCAACTGGCAGAGTTTTCAAATGCACAGGCTGAGATCTGGCAAAACAGCCCTGCCCACTCACTCCCACTGCCTGCACTGAACCCCAGCCCCAAGCCCGTGGGGAGGGAAGGATGATGTTTTGGCTGTAACTAAAGCACAGAGGTAAAAGCCAGAGTGAACAAAATTTATTTACAAAAATCCAAATTACAATATAATACAGGAACTTTTTACACACAGAATATTAGAACAGTTTACTACCAGAAGGTAAAGAAAAATATTTTTGGGGTGTTTTTTTTTGTTTGTTTTTTAATAAACCACCTATTTATTTTCAGCTATTGTTATACAAAGTTGCAGAACATGCACATCTTTACAGGGTTTCTTTATTTTAATATAATGTTTTGCTAAGTGCAAATACTAAGTTTCTCTCTCCACCTTTAAGGCAAGTAAAATGGAACACTGCAATTAACCTTAAGAAGTACCTGTTCTGGGATCAGCCTGGGCACAGCAACCTCCCTGTTGCCTTTTAAAGGACGAATGGTTTCAAGGACGGCAGAGCAGGAGGAAAAATGGGAAAATGGGTTAAAGACCCATGGATGGCTCTGATGGCTGAGCACTAAGGTTTGGGTTTTTTTTTTAAATAAATCAACACAGTTAAAATATATGAATGCAGATGCAAACACTATCAGCAACCACAACTCGAGGTCTCTTGGGTTAGAGGGGAGGAGCAGCTACAGGCTTGGCTGTGGAGTAATTTTTGGTGAAATGGGTGTTTCTTCAGGGAGAGCAGCAGCGCTGGGAGCTCAGCATCGCCCCACGGCTCGGTGGAGGAAGGAGCTCAGCCCATCACAGACCTCCTCCCCACCACAGCACAAGCACCGATTTCTCTCAGACACAAATAAGCCCATGGCTTCACAGAGGACATGCAGACAGCGGTCCCCTCTCCCTCTGCCTCTACCGGGCTCCTCCCGGACCGTGACCGCTGCACCACGGCAGCAGAAGACACTCACACCCCCAACACGACAGACCATAGACACCAACCTCCCCTCGCCAGCTCTGCCCGGCGCTTCTCCATCCCCCTCCTCACTTCCCTCTGCCACAGCTCAGTTCTCAGCACCTGCACGTCTCCAGACACGCACCAAAAGCTGGGATTAGAGCTCCCAGGCACGTAGCGCTGTGCGACACACCGTGTCTCCTTCATAGTTTGAGGCACCAGCTCAGCAGCTGAGCTATGCCCCGGCTGCCCGACCCCCCCTTCACACAGGCAGGTGCTGGGGGACAACCACGACCACCCTGACGGAGAAAGGCACGTGCTTTAGAGAGCCTGGAGGGCTCATCCAAGGCTGCCCTTGAGCCCACAAGATCTTGTCTATGAAAACCCCAGGATTCTCTTTCTGTAAGCAGCAGCCACACGTGCTTCTGCTGACCAGGGCCCGTTTCCTTGCCCCCCCGCCGACGCTGTGAACACAGCCCTTCCCAGACTCATTGGGACACTGCTCCTGGCTACTGCAGGAATAACCTGGAGCAAGGCAGGATTTAAACCCGGCTCAAACCCAGCCAGGTAGCAAGCGATAAGCTCCTGCAGCCCCCACGCTACTTCCAGAAATAAATGAAAATTAAAAAAGCAAATGGTAGCAGCAAGGGAATACCACTTGGTTATTAATGCTAGAGAGCACAGCACTGAGGAGCTGGATACGGTCAATCCACAGGCAATGCCCAGGAGGGGAGAAATTGCTGACTCAGCTCCAAAAAGCACGGATGTCCCCTCTGGGAGACCCTCCTGGGGACCCCAGTCTCCAGACGCTGTCCTGGGCCGTGGTGGAGGCTGCCTCTCTCCAGCAGCGCCCCACCAAGAGCCCAGCGCGCGCTGCAGGCCCGTGGAGATGCTGTGCTGGGGGCAGTTAGAGGGAGCTGCAAGCAAGGGCTTGGCAAAAGCTGTGAGGTGGAGGCAGGGATTTTTACCTGAAAAACAAATAAAACCAAAAGACACATAGACACTCAAATTCCAGGGGGAATAACAGGAGGGGAAATGCACCCAGCGGGTTCCCAGCAGGAAGGAGCAGGATGTGGCCCAGACCAAACCACTCAGGGAACAACTGGGCTCCTAAAAGTTAGCCCAGCATCTCTGGAAGGTTTTTTTTTCCCCACTCCATTTTCTTTTCTAAAGGGGGCCTGTACACAGACAGTACAGCCAAGGGCTGTGGGGAAAGGGCTTTGTGCCAGCACTCCTCCAGCAGCCCAGCAACTACACCCTCTGCTTCTTACAAGGAAGTTTTGCTTTTCCTAAACCCTCACTTCCTCGGCCCAGCAATACTCGTGTTTGCCTTTTAACATGCTTTTCTGAAGCCAATTGAGCTGAAACAGACATTTTCAGAAGTTATGAAGCACCGTGGAAGCAGCCAGCTTCCTGCAGCAGGCAGCTTCAGTGGCCCGCTGGGTTGCAGGGGGTTTGGCTAAGGGGGCTCCCCCGTCACCATCACCTGCAGGCATGACCACAGGGGTAGTTCCTAATTTCTCTGCCACAGCACACATCACACACCACTGTCTATGCATCTAACTGGGTATTCGCCCAAGCCCTTTTTGCAATGAGGGGCACAGCTTAGGCACTGGGCGCTTCTACCAGCTGTTTGAAGACTGCTGCCAGAACCAGGGGGAGATTTGGGATGCCAGATGTGAACAGCGAAGCAAAGGCCATGTTTTGGAAGCCAAAAGGCACCCAACTCTGTGGGGAAAAAAACAACAACTTGAGCCCTTCAAAGGGGACAAGTTCAGTTCAGCCAAAGATTAGGGTGCCTGAGTCTTCTGCTACTTGCTAAAGCCCTGAGACACAACATGGCTCTGAGCTTCCCACCGAGACCTCAGCAACAAGACAGCTGCTGCATCCCCTCACTCGCAGAGCGAGAAATGCGATGAACAGTAGACTGACTTGGTTTTGAACAATTTATTTCTGCTGGGAGGTGCAGCAGGCTACAGGGATGCTGGAGAACATGGGAAGTCCAGCCTTGTGCCTCTCTGCAGGCAGAAGGCCAGGGCAGCCAACTCCTGTTATCTTGTTCCTGAAGGTCTTAATTCAGATGCCAGATCTCTCCCCCCTTCCCCCAAGATTCACTTGACTGTGCAGCAGCTGCTCTGGACAGCAGAAAAGTTCGATTTTTGGAAAGTCCCCGAGGAAAGGCTGTATCTCTGCTGTCAAGTCTCACTTTCCCTCTCAACAGCTGCCTGAGTAGGCTTTGTCAAATCAAAATATCTGGATGCCCAACACAGGGAGAAACCCCTTGAAAATGCAGCACCAAGTCCTGTTGCCACACAGACTGAAATGTTTGATTGCAAAGTTTCAGAGAAGCTCTAGAGAGGGCTGTGGTGCAGGTACACATGAATCAGAGCAGGTTCCCTTCCAGCTGGTTACACTGAGAGGAGCTGGAGGAGGAAGGGGGGTGATGTTACTGGGGTGGCTTTGCCCTGCACTGACTCTACACCAAGTGCCATTTGAACCAGGTCAGAACCGGTGTCGAGGCTGAGGGCCAAAGTGCATAGGCAAGTTGTGCTCCAGCTGGACGTTGATCTGGGGAAAGTCATAGTTCACCCTCATGTTAGGTAACGGGGGGACGTAGGGCGCAGGGATGGGGCCAATGTTGAGGGGGATGTTATTGTACATGGGACGGACAGGAGGGAGCGGGAAGGGAGGGTGAACGAAGGGGTAAGGGGGCATCCGGGGTTGATGGAGGTTCTGAGGAACGGGTCTGGGGATGACTTCAATTCTCTGGATTTTCTCCATGGGCTTTTCTGCAGGAGGACCAATCCGCTTGAAGCTGTTCTCTGCAGAGGGAGGAGAGAAAAAAACCCAGTCGCTCCACAAACAAAGACTAACCAAGCTTGGTCCAGTCTTACACCTGCAGTCAGTGTCCTCTGACCCCAGCACATTCCTCAAGCATGCTCTCTGCAGCACCACTGCTCGTCCCTTCCACACTCCAGGCACCGCGGAGCACAGCACGAGCTTTCCATGTTGGTTCTTTTCAACAACACAACACCACAAAGGGGGAAGATCTCCTTTTGCAGGGATGTGGGGCAGCCCCTTGCATGTCCTTGGGCTACCCACCACAGAGCACAGAGGTTATTCTGCCCTTCAGCTGCTTTACCAAGCTGAGAGGAGACAGGTCTGTGCATACAAGACACCCAGCACCAAGTGAGAGCTGGACAGGAGCCTTGTGCCTCCTCACAGTCCCAGCAAAGGCCTGCAGGCAACAGTACTTTAAACCTAGAGCTGTTCACAGGAGGAACAGGGTGATGGCTTGCACTCCAGAGCAAGATTTGGGCAATGCCTGGTGCAGCACAGCAATGCATGGAGCAGCCAGGAGGTGGGAAGAGTCCAAGGAAGATCCAGAGACTTGTCAGCAGATGGGAACCCTATGCTCTCCTGTGGTCCTCAGTCTGATCTCAAAGCGCAGGTACAGACTATGACTTACCTCCATTTTTCTTCCTTTGCTCCTCTTCAGCCTCTTTCTGAATCTCCTGGATTATCTTCTCGTCATCTTCCTAGAAATCACAGGAGTACCAAGAATCAGAGGGTTAAGCCCTGCTGCAGCAACTTTCTATTCCCTCAATGATGCTTTTCTTTTCAGCATGTTTGCATGGGATTAAAAAGGTAAATCTGGCTGAATTGTCCTCATTTGGGGCTGACCTAGGTTTACTCAGAGGCAAGGCTGCAGCGGGGGACTGCGGGATGAGTAACCTGCACAGAGCCAAGCTTACTCCACAGAGTATGACTAAGAAGTTCAGGTCAGCTTTCCAGGGAGATCAGTGCTAAAACTCACTGCCTTGATGGAAACCAGAGAACTGCAACGCAGCTCCGCCCATCTGAAGAGTTGCTGGAGAGCTGTTAATCTTTTAAATGGCAATAGTCTATTAAATATTTACATTATGCTAGCACTTCTAGAGTTTTTGGCGCAACAGCTGGAATTAACACAACTTAAATCCTGGCTCTAGTAACTAAACGGTGCTGTGACAAGGCCATTTAGATCTTATCTGTAACTGAGGAGGGCATAATTCACAATACATTTCTTTAATGTCTATCTAGAGGTTATAGCAAGAATATTCAGACCCGCTGCTCAACAAGAATGCACGGACAAGCCAGAAATTGAAAGTGTCCTTCTGCCTCTCATCTTCAGTTTTCTCAACTCAGAGGAGCTGCAGTGAGACCAAACGATGCTGTGAAGCCTCAGGTGGCTGCAGGCAGCTAGAGAGATGGCATTTACACCAATGTTTATTAGATCAAGGGAGCACGGTGAACAAAGTCCTGGAAGAAGACCATGCAAGCTAGGAGAGGCTTGTCTGGAGGGATGGCCAGAGGCATTGACAGCCCATAGGGTCCAGGCAGCTCTCACTCAGGCTTTACGCCGGCCGTGCTCGTGTTGGCATGAAACCAGAGAATCACCCCAAATCATGCTCTAGCATCAGTTGTCCACTTCCAAGAATGGCTGTGAAAAATTAGTTTCTTCATCACACCACAGCATGAAACAGTTATCAGGGTAATAAAGATTACACCAAACCACTAAAGAGACAACTCCCTTTTAGTGCAAGGCAGCAGATGCTTCTGCTGGCCATATGTGCAGCAATGGCCACAGAGGTCCTCCTGGTCTCTGCAGGGTTGCATCTGCTGCTGCCTCGTGTCTGTTGGGATGAAACACTACCTGGCACTTTCAGAAAACAAATGAGCATAGCTAAGCCTCCTGGACAGCGTTTGTACTCTTGATGTTGGTTATTAGGGAAGAAGGCCAAGAACAGGAGCTGCTGGATGACACACGACACCTGCATCGGGCACTCTGGGTCTACCTGTGTATGAAGGAGGATTTGGTTTCCTTCAGCAAGCGCTAGCGGTGGAGCCAGAGGGAAGCCCCAAGCCCCACGTACCCCACAATATGCAAGACTCTGCTTCATTTTATTCATCCTAATTTCAGTACTGCCAAACCCCATAAATTTCTTCGTGAACACTCTTAATGTGGAAAATATCCTCTATTTTGAAGAGTGCTCTGGGACTAAATTTGAAATACACTCCATGTGTGCAGCTACGTTGAAATTAAGTCTAGCCAGCTTCCCTGTTCCAATCTTATGGTCCTGCACATGTCAAGCAGCAACGCCTGGGAGCCTTGCTAAAATGTCCCCTCCTCTCGCCACCAGATAAAGTTTCCCTGGGAGACTGAAGTTATCTTAATCTGCAGAAAGCCACCAAACTCAATACTTCCCTCCCTTTTATTATTCTGTGAGTCAATGGTTAAAATTAAGACTTTCCAGGACACAATTTTTTTTTTTCCCAAGCAGGCTGCTTCCATGGACTGTTAATTACAGTCTATCTATCTCCATAAAAACTGCCGAAGAATGAGCGTATACAGGACTTCTAATTATCCCCCAAGTATCAGATTGCAGCATTCCCTGGCTGGAAAATCACCTGAGCATGATCCACAACAGGCCACCAAACCTCCTTCACTGCCCAAGCAGCACTCTCAAAGGGTGGCCCCAAAGCTTCAAGATTTCAATACTTTTCAGAATAATTTTTGCAAAGCTGTTGAAAATGGAGATAGCCACCTCTCCCATCTTATTGCCACTTACTGGAAAAGATGCACCCAAAGGGTTTTTTTTAGTTATCTGACAAGTAACTAAACAAGATCACCCTATCTCCTTCCCTCACAAAAAGGCATAAACCTCACCTTAAAGCCTAGAAAGACGCAAAGTCCCTTCTAACGTAAAAAAAGGTTTTATAATACTTAAAGTCTGGGATTAACCCTCTGAAACAGTGCTCTCCAGGGACACTATTGTCCTGACACCCCCCCAGCGTGGTGCTGCAGCTCCTGCAAACCCCACTGTTGATACCAGTCAGTCCCGCAGAAGTCTGGTGAACGGGACACATCAACAAAGCAATTTTCCAAGATCCTCTTGCAGTGAGCACTACTCGACCCTCCTAGTTTCAACTGCAGCTGACCTCCACACTAATGAGGGATGGACAAAGCCATCTGCCCCTGGGGCTGGCGGGCCAGCTGCAAGCATGCAAGGTGATGCTGGCTTCAATTACTGCAGCTCCCAGAGGGCTGGGGAAAAGCATAACAGCAAACCCCATCTGCCAGATCTCCAAAATGACGTCTGTCTCTCAAGGACAACATAAACCACATCACCTCAGATGAAGCAGCCAGAGATCCTTACACAAGCCCATCCCCTCTTGGTCTTCAGGAGGGAGGCAAACATCACAGCACACCCTGAATACAAAAAAACCCGCCAAGAACAGACCTGGATTGGGACGACGTGTTCCTGACTAGTTCTGCAACTGCAAATCACAGCAGAGGCATATCAAACCACATCTCCAAGAACTGAAGTTATCAGCTTTGTTGTTTCTCTGTTGATAAAAGCATATTCTCACATTGGAAGGTTGAGAAGTATTTGCACTTAATCCTACATACCAAACCTTAGTTTAGAATTTTTTTGCAGTGTTTCTGAAAAACTGGTATCTATTAATACAGAAAGAAAAAAAAAAAACACACGGCACAATAGGCACCTTCCTACTTGAGAAGCAGACATTAACCTGGCAAGTGATGAATACACAGCACAGTTCAATACCTGCAGTATTTAGGCAAGATCCATGTCCCAGGTGGAACAAAAAAATTGATGATCTGTGTACAGCAATACAATTTCAGGATATTTGTGAAGGAAAGCTGATGCCACAGGTTACAGCTGTTACATATTGCACCAGCACAGGTCAGAATTAAAAAACAAGTCTCAGTCCTGTAAATATGCACCATGTGCAATGTGATTTTTGCAAAACTCTGCTAATTCTTTGAGAAGCAGAAGCTGTTTTTTTGATTCCACAGTTAATTGGAGGGAGATGACAGATTCATCTAGGGGTAAAGCATCCCCACAAAAAATGAAGTTTCATTAGCACACTTATGGCTGGCTGTTGTGGTAAGAAACCATTTAATGTCACATGGGGTGGAGGCTGCAGTACAATTTCAAAAGCCTCTTGTGTCCATTTTCCTGAGCGGGTTCAAGTCCCTTAATAAAGGATTAGATTATAATTTTAATAGCCTGTTCACAGGCCGTATGGATTGAAGGGCTTTATCTTGTCAAGTTAACAGTCATCTTCCTGTCAGCTGCCTTGCCTACAGGAAAAAAAAAAGAAAAAAAAGTAAAAATCAAAAAAGCTACCCCCCAAACCCTGGGGGGGGTTTCACTACAGGCCAGCCCACATGTTTTTTGAGCAGGGATGTAACTTGGCTCTCCTCCCGAGAAAGAAAAATGCAGGGCAATGCTATAGCACGGCCTTTCCCCATGCTCCATTGCATCACGGGAGAAGGGAGGTGGCCAAAGGAAAAATGCAAAGGATCTATGAGATGTATTCACTCTTCTTATCTGCAAACACTGCAGAAAGCAACCGTTATTAACAGCAGCTGCATTTTTAAGTGGCAAACCAGGACTGAGCTCTGCCCCAAACCTCAGAGCAGGATAATCTTTGTAGGAACCATCCTCAATCCTGTGGCCAAAAAAAAAACCAAAACCAATGTTTGTCCATGGACAAACAGCGCCTGCCCTTGTGATCCCCCACCTGTGAAAGGATCTCGTCATGGAGGAGGCTTTTCCTTTCAGCCCTCTGCCACTGAATCCAGGGAATGCAGCGCGCACAGAGCCAATCACAGCAGAAAGGATGGCTCGGGTCTGGGGATGGATTAACTAAAGAGCGGGGCTGGGTTGCTAAGCAAGGCACCTTTTCATGGCAGGGAGGCCCGTTTCAGCAAGGCTGGTATAGAGAAACCACGTCCAGCATCCACGCAGGGCCCTGCACTCACGCAGAAATTGCTGATGGAGAAACAAACAGCCCATCAGGAACAAGAAAATACAGCAGCAAAGGAGATAAAAGCTCCGCAAGTCACACCTCCTCTGCCCAGAACAAAAGTGCCATCCCTGGAGCTTTTGAAAGCTCCGTTTTTATCTACTGCGCCTCTCGTTATCTTTAATTATTAAGTGTCATGGGAAAGCGGCTGCCCGCCTCCTGAAAGAGGGAAAACAAGAGACCTGGTAACTATTTCTGGGCTGTGCAACCCCTCCCCTGTCTTTAGAAAGTGCCTTCATCACCACTGCCTCCCCCTTTCTGGCTTTTTACTGCTTTCTTTTTCCACGTATGTGTGGCCGCAGCCGTTACTAATAAACTTGAAATGATTTTTCACGACAGAGGCTTCCAAAGGACTAAGGGGTTTTGTTTCAAATCATTCCCAGATCAGCTGCGGAGAGCCTGAGCAAGAACAGGCATCGGCTGTCTCCGGCGTGTTCCTCCATGCAGCAGGAAGCAGGGGATAAAAGCTGTGTTGTAACTGGAACAGGGCATCCGCAGTGCTGCAGGAAAAGGGGGGCCAGGACGGGGATGAAGCACACGCTGGCGTTTTAAGAAATGCAGAGTTATTTTAGCAACAGGCATTCCATATTGATGGCTTTCTGTGAATGCTGCGGATTAACCGTATGCTTATGATTAAGGCATTTTATAGCATGTTAAAAAAAACCCCAGCCAACCAACACACCCTAAATTTCGGGGTGCTTCCCCTCCCTCCAAATCCTAAAGGCAGTGCTGTGTACTTCATGCATGTCCTTCATGCATTTGAAGTTTTACACAGTTTTTGGCTCAACATCTTCTTCTTATAATGCTAGAAAGAAGGATAATTGCAAACACCTTATCATGATTAGAGTTCTGCTTTGAACTTTAATGATGGGCCTTTGGGAGTGTTTTAAGAGTTTACTGAAAACATCTTAAACTTTAAAGTCAAAAAAACTGCTATGCAATATTATTGATAGTCCAGAGATGAGTATTAAATTAAAAATAATACATATGAGAGCAGAACCTGGTTTACCAAAACAGTCAGACTGCATTAGTCAAATCGCACCACAGGATTTGTACCAACCGGCTAAAACGCATACATCAGCCTTAAGTTTGCTACGGATATTTAGAAATCAGGGAAAACACAGCCCCCAAGTCCCAGAGCCTGCTGTTTGCAGAGCCAGTTCTCACTGCTCCATCCACAGCTTTGTCTCTGGCAATATTGCATCAGCTCCTCCTGCAGCCAGCAACGTCTCAGCGAGCGGAGCCAAAGCCAGCGCCGGCTGCAGAACAGGCACACGAGGACTTTTGGCCAAGCAGCTTACTGAGAAGAGCTCCTGGCACACGTCTGTATCCTACAGGGGCCCAGGGCACCGATTAGCTCTGGAGGAAATGCAGCGATTAAGCGATTACCGCCTGCTACCCTGGAAGCTGCTGACCACAGCTCGATTGCAGCTTGTCTCTGAGCCAGCAAATGTTGCACCAATATTTTAAAATTAGACTTCAGTCTGATTACAGTATAGGGAAGATTAACTAACCTTTTATTATGGGAAATTTTGAAGCGTCTGTTTTACTCTCTCAAGATCATTTGAGACAAAGACTAACAGATGCTGCAGTTCCTAGAGGACTGTCTTGAATTTGTTTTTAACCCAAGCTAACGAATAGGTTTACTTATACTTTTGCAAGAATCATTTCAGACTCAGAAAACATTAAACATCTGGAAAAGAACCAAGGATCCCCATTTAAAAAAAACCTGAATTTTGCTGTAAATAACGGGGAGTTAGACCCAGCACAGATCCTTCACAAAAGTATGAAATCCAGGAATGTCAAAGCTGAAGTCTACATCTGTGAAATGCAAATGGACAAGATCATGGTACTGTGATCATGCCACTGGTCTGCTGAAGACAGTTCTAGGTTAAGGCTGTACATAAGCATATCAGAAGTCAGAACAAAAGCATCCTGTCACCCTCTAGAAGCCAGGCTTTGGTGCCACGCGTGTGCCCTCTCCATTTTGCAACCGGGCCTAATTCAGGAAAAGGAGTGGCAGCTCCTAAGCAATGGGCTACAAATTTCACAGGTGATAAGATGACCCAGTCTTGTCTTCTCTGTACTTGCACACAGGCAGAGTATGGCTGCAAACATTTGCAAGCCCACAACAGATACTCTCCTCCTATATGTACAGCATCAGCTGTCTACTGACTTCAACAGAATAGAAGACATTGAACCAAAAGAGAAAACAGCAGAGTTGAGAAAGGCACAGGAAGATGCCAGTGCAGCAGCCAGCAGAGCTGGGATGGGGTAATCCCTTGGACAGCCATTTTCCCTCACAAAGGACAAGACACTACTGAAACAATGGCCTTTTGCTCTTTCGTAACTCCATGTCAAGGTTCAAATTCGTTCCCCCTCTTCACGTCTACCACATTAACTCCTGTTTACATGGCCCATATGAGAGCACAGATCACCCAGGTGGGACTGGGTTAGTGTCACTAAGCCCCTTACGAAGGGGGACAATGCACACAGGTTTCTGTCGTTCCAGCCCTAGAAGCCAACAGTTGAGTTTCACATTATTCTTTGCACCACAGCAAGGACAGTTACCCAACTTCACCTCCTCAGCCCACCAGTGCTCTGTCATCCAAAGGAAAAAAAACCCGTAACACAAAACAAAAGAGCAGGCAGTGCCAGCTCTTTGCTGACGGTGGGAAATTTTTCTTTGCCACAACATTGGTTAATTAGAGAGCTGGAAAGGGCCTGGTGACAGTGCCCTCTTTGTGCTGTTTATTTATTTATTTATTTTTAAGTACAGTATGAGCTTTTTGAGAGGCCTCATGTTTTCTCTGGCTCTGAACAAACGCCATCACCCAGCACAATTAGCAGCCTTACAGGAACAAAGGACAGCAGCGCTGACGAACCCTGAATCACATCCTGGTGCAAAACAGGGAGGAGTGGGACAGGAATCCAGACAGCGAATAACCAGGTGTTGGAAATGCTACAGGGGTGCCTAGGAGGTGTCTGTGTTTAATTTAACACCTCGCAGTGATAGGATAAGGCAGGGAATAAAGGCAGGCGAGCAGAGGACTAAGGAAGTTTACACTAGTTGGGACACTGCTGGGAGATCCCCAAGAGCCTGAAGGTAGGAAAAGGAGATTTAGAGTGGCTTTTCCTTGGCTCTGTGCAAGCGCAGGATTGTGCACATCCCCTGCAGAAAGAGAGGCCAGTAACCGTCTGGCAAGCTGCAGCAGCCTGAGACAAAGAAGTGTTGGGACAAACGAAGAACGAAGCTCAGACAAGCCCTGGGAAGGCAGATCCAGGTTCATGTTTGCTCTACTGCTTTGCTGAAATCAGGAAATTCAACTCCTGCTCCTACGTACACTCCTTCTGGATTTCTGGTATTGAAGACCTCTATTTACAGAGATGCTGCACTAAGTTTTCCCATGCCCGTCACAGCTACAAGCTGTATTAAGTTACTACAGCTTCCCTTACAGCTCAGCCCATACTTCAGTTCCCCCTTTGCAGCTGTTGACAACAGCTGTGAGAACAAACCCAACTACAACTCGGGTCCGTGGCCTTGCAGGCAGTTTTCCTGGTGGGTCCATCCACCTCTGCGAAGGGACTTGCAGAGCCAGCAGCAGGATGATCTGGGCACCAAAAAGACACAACTCCCCTTGCTCCCAGATGCAAAGCTGTACCGAAGAGCATCTCAGCTGCAAAATTAGGAACAAGTCCCAGTAATCCCAGTGCCTGCTACCGTGCCTGGTGCCAGCACACGCTCCCCACCAGCTCCTTCCACAAACCCCGCTCCCCACAACGCTCAGAGCGCTTCCAGCCAAAGTCTTCGTCTAACAGGAGCTGTTTTTCCCTAAAGCAACACCAGTTCCTTCCAAGTTGCGGTCAGATGTGACTCTGTGCTGATGTAGGCTTCCAGTGTGTTTTTTAGCTGCCTTGGGAAAGGAAAAAAGCTGTGCTGTCTAAACCCAGCCGTTTTCCTCTGGTGGAAGGCATGTATTTCAACACACTGCCATCAAACAGTAATTGAAATCAGGGTGTGGAATCATTCACAAAAGTCCTTCGTTACTTACTGTGGGATCTGTCCAGAGAGAGCACTTTGCACAGTCCTGGCAGGGAGCCCCGGGCGAGCGGGGGTGTTGGCAGAAGTGGTCGTACCCGTTAATGGCAGCCCGGCAGAGGTAGCACATCTGAGCACCACAACGGCAGGACATGCGGTTGCAACCCTCCGATTTAATTAGGCCAGTCCCACACTTGTGGCATTTTCTAATTCGGGCAGCTGTCATTTTCTCTTCTCTGTAAGGCAAGAGGAAGGAGAAGAATTAGAGAAGGGGAGTTTGCAGCCACCAGCCTGCAGTACAGTTACTGTTACTCTATCCCAGCAAGGCTTTAACCCCCGTCCCCAGTGCACCCCTCCCCATCCTCTTTCCTCCTACACCATCCCCGCGGTCCACCGCTATTCCAAGGAGGTCTGGGCTCAGCTCCACTTGGAGCCAACCCATGACAACTCAAGAACAAATTAAGTGAAAGAAAGTCAATCACTGGCTGCGTGCTACAGACCCAATCCTGGTTTCCATGTGAGCCAAAACGCCGCAGCACCAAGCTCTGGCTCGGGAGGAATTTAAGCCATAAGTTGAAGTGCCAAAGGGCATGTGGATGCTTGACTTGGCTTTGGAGAAATACAGCCTGGGAGATAAAGTTCAGGAAAAGCAAACCCTTGGCTGTCATCTGCTAGCTAGTTTTATGTTTGCCTGTTGATTCAGCTACAAAGTTGCCATGACCATATTTTTTTTTTTAACCCTGGATGATACGCTCCGGATTTGGGTTTTGTTAAATTTAAATCAGTAACTGAAAAAAAAATCACATATTTCCCCAGAGAGGCTGGGCTTTCCCTCTTAAGATTCCCTACGTACATTTTCCAGAGGTTATTGCTTTAGGTTCAAGGGACACGTTTTGCTGTAATGGAGCACAAATGGGAATCCAGGACAAAGCACAGTCCCTGTCCCCAAGAGACACCCTGGCAGCGACACACGCTCCAGTGCAAGGCTCAGCTCGCGGCAATGCTATTTTGGCACAGAAATTGAGGAAAGCCTCGGTCATTTAATTAAAAGACTTAAGAATATAAGTTGTCATCCTAAGGGCCAATTTTCTGACCGCTGGAGATCACGTTACAGTTTAATTCACAACCTAGAAGTGAAATCTGATGACAGAAGAGACAGTGTTTTCACTGAGGGAAGCACAGCTCTCTGGCCGTGCTGACCTGACAGTGGGGAATGATCTTCCTTAACCAGGCATCTCCACCCAACTACTTTAAGTGGACCTGAAAAGTCAACATATGTTTGGGAGATGACAGGGAGGTATTTTTGAGGAGGATCCCAGCAGCGAACCAGCACACAGCACAGCCCCACAAACCGCTCTGTCAGCACAACCAGTGGAGCAGGGAATGGCAAGGTGGGAACTTCAGCTGTCTTGCAGCTACCCAAAGCTCCCACGCAGTTATACCTGGCATGAGCTGTACCCAGGCATTTGGAGATATGCTAAGAATAGAGATGAAAAAAACCCAACTTGTGACTGACTTTTCTCTGAGCTGCAGCTGCTCTTCCCTCCGCTACTCAACAGGATGCTGCCGATGCGGATTTTTTTTTTTTTTTTGGAAACTTTGAGCAAGGCAGGAAGTTTGGCCTGAGCTCCAGCTGTGCTTCCCTTTCCTTATGCAAGGCATCAAAAGGAAGCTTTTATTGTATCAGGCAGTCAGACTCATCTACCCACAGAAACATTCTGCCAAAGGTTTTGAAACTACTATTTTCTTCCTTATTAGGGACATGACAACTCATTCCTCCTTCTCACCCCTCTTTCCTACAGGGAAAGGAGTGGCAGAGAAGAAAGTCACATCAAATCTGTAAAGATTTTGTTCTGAATTAGGGACTGCAAGATGAGCAAGCAACAGTCATTCAGCTTCCCAGTGGTGGAGCTTTCCAACCTCTACTCATGCCAGACAGACTTAATCAGAGAGGAAGGGATTGGGCAATGTGGGCAAGTCCCACTGGACTGCTGACATGCAGCTCCATGGATGAACCTTCCCTTATTTCCTAAAGGCAAAGGATTTTGTCATTTACTGTAGCAATGAGAGAGATCGAACTTCAAAAGATTTTAGGGAAACACTCAGGATTTACACCTGCATATTTCAAGTTGTGACTCCATTCTGTAACAATTCCTACAGACCAGTTAGAAACAGAGACAAGCATCTGTAAGAAAACACATTCCCTCTCACAAAGCCAGAAAGCAGTAGCTGAGCAAACCACGCATCCCACTCCAGATTTTCAAAGGGTAGTAATGACTTACTGAGACTCAATACACTTCTTTGCCTCTGTGCAACACCTCCCTCCTCCCCCCAAGCGACACTAATGGGGATTTCTCACCTCTGAGAAGGACCAGGTGCCAGCCTGCAAGACACCAGGCTAGCCAGAGGAACAGGCTGGTCTGGTGACAACTCTCCCACGTTCTTCAATTACCAGCTGGATCTGCTGCCAAGTATCTTTCACAGAAAGAAATCTCATCCTGGGAGCCTTCTGACCCCTCAGCTTTGACATGCCTAAGACCTCCCTGATGGAAGGTAGTGACGCCCAGGAGAAGTTTAGGGCCTCTGCTAGTCACCAGAACACAGGGGCTTCTCACTCCCTCCATACCAGAGCATACTGCCTACAGTATTGCTATTATGAGTTCATCTACCCCCCTATTTTTGCCTGGTTAAGGAGTTTACTTACATGGATGTCCTGTATTTGATGTCATCCTTCTCAGCCAGCTGCTCGCAGGTGAGGTTCATGTGCTCCTTCCACAGCCCCTGGCATTTCCGACATGTTTCCTGAGGAGGATAACAAGCATTAAGGGAAAAGAAGACCCAGCACACTACTAACAGCATCAGGAATTGGAAAAATTCCCACCTCTTCCCCCACCACACTGCAGGTTCTCCATTGAGGATGGGGCTGGCAGTATGGTATAGCAGTCTGCAGGTCTGTCCTCAACCAGAGACCAGAATAAGTCCATGAAATAATGGGAGCCAAGGATTCTTCCAAGGCACAAGAACCCAGGTACAAAATGAGTCCATAAATCCTAGTTCACCTAAACCCCATCAAACAGCCACCAGGTTCATCCGTTACTTCCTGGAGAAGACTGCAGAGATGAAAACATGGTGCTAAAGGACATCAAGTTCATCTGTTTCCTGACCAAAATCCTTCACCTTCATATAAAGGGCTTCTAGACCAGCAGGCAATGAAAACCTTGCAGCTGCATCAAAAACTCTGCTTCACCACGCATACAAGCAAATCCACATTATGCTTTGTGAAACCTCACAAAATAAAGTTAAGGCATTTTATGTGAGTAAACAGCTTAAAAAGGCAGGATGTGGGCAAATATCCATAAAACAGAGGTGGAATATGAACAACCATTTATGACTTTAACCAGAACTGAACTAAACTTAGAGCAAGTGACTGAACTCTCCTGTTCTTATAAACTCTTTAGCAAAAGGCTCTAATCCAGGACTGGTAAAGCTGCATGGAGCTGGGGAGGCACTACTGCCAAGGGAACTTGGGCTAACACTGGGGACAGGGTTGATTTTTTCGGCTGGATGGCCAAAGAAAACATAATTTTGTTTTGGGTCAAACAAGAGATTTTCCTTTAATTTGAGGAAGATTAAAAAACATCCAGATCAAACTTGGAAAAAGTACATGTTTCACAATCCAACTGTTTCATCTTCAGGATGGCTGGGGCTCAGGCTTTTAAATCCAACTTTCTCCCCTTGGCAGGAAAACACACATGGCTGTGAAGCATCCTCTTCCCCTCCACAGCAAAGAAGGTCCCAAAAGAGTTTTGCCCAGCTCTGGTCGCACTATTAGCGAAAGACAATGGCTGCAGAGACAGATCTTATTTGATTGCATTACCTTCATTTTATTTTAATGAAGAAGTTGGATGTTTATCTGAGATATGATAGAAGTAACTGCTTAAAGACACACGTAGGCAGCAACACTCTTTTGATCGCAAATCAGACAAACAGGATGAAGACCAAAGCTTCCAAGGAAGCCACCCCTAGGAGGGGGGTGGTGGTGCAAAACGTTGACATGTTTGTATTTGTGCTTGCTGGGAGATGCATAACAGCTTGTGCTTTCATCTGGAGAATTAAAGCCTCCTCGTCCTGGCTGGTAAGCCGGACATGTTTGCAGACTGCAGGGTAAGGGCTGTAGTAAGAGAAGAGCCAAGTCTGCAACCATGTCCCAAAAGCTCAGCAGAGGATTTGGTGATCACTTATCTTGCAAATGCACCCTTTGGCAGGCAGGCACTAGTTTTAAAGAGGCAGTAAATGTCTGGTTCTATTGATCCTCATGAATCATTCCTCATACACCATGTCTTCCTGCTAAAGCTGTTAAAACAGGCACCATTTTGTGTGCATTTGTTGGCAGGCCACATCTGGCTGTTATCGGCACGGGAGGATCAGACTTGGAGCCGTACAGGTACCTCGATGAGGACCCACCTTCCCCTTTCATTCTCGACACCTGGACACATGCCATTCCGAGATCAAAAGTTCCGTAGGTTTCAGTTTTTTACATATATCAAGGGTTAAAAACAGTCTTTGGAGCCCTGCTACACAGAACCACTTTCACATGCCAGCAACAAAGATTTAACAGCTTTTTGCCAGAAGGGTTGGCACACTTTCCAGCCAGGAGTCTACTATTCCCAATTACTTAACTCCAGGAGCCTCCTTTGCTGCTGAATTAGAAACGATGCCCTTCTGAAGCAGATGGTGCTGCTTATACTTTTGTACCAAGTACCCTTTGCCTTTTGCTACTGCCACCATCCTTGCTTTGCATGCTGCAACTATTTGAAAACAATGCTCTCCCTTGAGCTGAGGCTGTTATTTGCCAAACAGTTGTCTCCTACACTCAGGAAAAGGGATTTCTGTGCAGGCGAGGAGAAAGGGAAGAGGCTTGGCAATGTAGGTTCCCAAACACACTGGGATGGCATGAAATGGGAGGTATCCAGTTCTCCACATTACTGTGACCACTGCACAGCGAGTGCCATTGCAGCTGTGCACATTTCTGGGATCTCTCCCAAGACGTGTTGGCCACAGGAGCTGCAAACCCATGAAGCAGAAAGAAATGTCCCCATGGCTTCCTCACCTCAAGCACCACCTGGTGCTGCCTCTGACCGAGCCACATCCTCTCCAGAACAGATGCAGGGGAAAAAATGGACAATACATGTGCCATTAGCAGAAGCTGATGCGACTTTTCCTCTTGTTCTACCCCGAGACAATGACACAATGTTGGCAGTCACAGGAACTCATGTTGGAACCCTTCACACAAAAGTGGGGAGAAAGCCCGTGGTTCAGACAAAGGCAATGGCTCCAGTGCTATAAATGAGGCCACAGCTCTCACCCAAGAAAAGTGACTTTTTATAATTTTTACTCTTAGTCAAATCCAACCCACTCAGCTGATGAGGGTTTTGCACGTCTCGCATAATGACAATTCTGATCTCTACAATTTCTGTAGGGGGTTATTTTATTTTAGAAACAGCTTTTTGTTTGATAAAGAAAAATACTTTGCCATTACCATATTAATTAACCTAAACACACAGTAGGATAGCTGATTTTTTGCAACCAGCCTAGATTATTTCTATTGTAAGAGCAGCACTTGGCAGTAGGACTGCCTACTGCAATATAAGGCAGCGCCTAAACTCACACAAAGAGGGAACGAGTCCTCCCCAGCCCCGAAATCTTCTACTCCAAGTGTGGCAGCCAAAGAGAAAAAGTCAGTCCACCAAAACAAAGACCCTGCCCAATTTCTTCGGCACCTTGTCCATTAGCAAACCATGGCCAACACACATACTTGATGTGGAAAAGCAGTTTTTGTTTTCATTTTAACAGCTTTTCATTTAAATTAATCATTTCTGAATGGTGGAAGTTCCATGTGTTTCTCCCATCTTTCCCCAGCCCACTCCTCCTCCAGGCAGGTACAGCTAACGCAGCTCAGCTTTTGGTGTGAGGGGCAGTGTGTTTGCAGAAGCCTTGGCATTAGGAAACGGCTCCAAACCAGGCATGGATGCAGGAGATTAAGTATCTGCTGCCTGTTACATCTGCCTGAGCTTGGCAGGCAGCCTGGGACAGTCCATTAATGTGCCGGGCTGGGACAGCAGAGAGGAGGATGTGATGGAGAGGGTGTTTAATCGCACACTGTAATCTCCTCACTGTACATCTGTTAGAGGTAGTGGCTCCGTTTCCTCTCGCTGGCTGCCAGGAAGCAGCCGGGATTAGCACAAACATGTTTGGGTTCAGGAGGATCCTTTGTTCCCAGGGTCAGCAGTGCGGATACGCAGCTTTCTATGCTCAGGGCCAGCCTCGCTAAGGGTGACCAGTTTGTTTTTAGCATGGGCATCACAATCTTTAAACATCCTTGTTAACTGCCTCAGCACCTAATGAAGGTAGAAGGGAGTGATTTATGTGAGCCTACCACCTTCCTCAGCACTTCTACTAGTACTTGAAATGGATGCAACAGTTTTAAAACACAGCCTATACTTTTTTTCCACTCCACTGTCTACTAAAAACAACTCTCCAAGGTCCAGCCCATAAATCAGGGTAGTTGGGGGAGAGGTAGTCAACTTCTGCTTGCCAGTCTCCATGTCCTTTTGGCTACAGGCAGGCTGCTGTACACACTGCCAGCAATGTAGATGCATCAGCTTTCCTGGTTTCAACCCAAACAAATGCCACATGGACAAAAACATCAGATGATATACAGAGAAGAGGGACCAGCTACCCACGGCATTCCGGCGTGCCCGCTTCTTCTGTAGGAGTTTACACGAAGCCATTTACTGATTGAGCAAAATGCAAGGGGAGGCGGGGAAGCTCAACTTAAACAACAACAGGCATCGGACTAGGCTGTCATCACCGCCCTCCAGCTCTCAGCGGTGGCTCTGAGGAGTCCAGCGCTTGCCTTAGCTCTCCATATGCTGGTTAATTAAATCCTTTCGCCGCTGTGCTGTGCGACTCCCCGAGTCTCCCAGGAAGGGCAAGTTGCACACTCCAGCGGTCTCTGCCGAGTGCACACACAGGGACCTTTGCTGCTGCGCTCCCTGCTAGGAGAGAGAGGTAAAACATACCGTGTGTCCCTCCGATGCTCGCTGGAATGGAGCCCCAGTGATTGATTCTCTGCTTCTTCCTGCTTTTAGACACACAATAGCGCAGGCTAACCTCAAAACAGGCCAAGTTTTACCCAAAAGCAGATGTGAATGTAATAGTCTTAGAATAGCACCTCAGGGCCAGTCCATACTGCGCTGGTTTAATTAAAGGGCTCCAATTCCCAACCAGACGAGTTAATGGGAAAACAAAGAACCACAGAGTCTTCCTCCCCACAAAGTCTCCACTGTCCATAAAGCTGCACTGACCTTAACTAAAAATGGATGCAGAAGTAGCTAAATGAATACAACCTTTAAGCATGGATAAGCTCATCATGAGCAAACTCCTCTGGGGCTGTTTCTGGGATTTCCTATACGTTAAGCTGGGATAAAGAGGCTAAAATCCAGCCCAAGACAATCCATTTTGGTGAGACCCCTCTTCAGGGATGTACAAACACCCAGCACAGGGAAGTGGGACCCCAAGTCCAAAGGTACCCGACTGCCCAATACAGAGAGTGCTCCTTCCAGCACCAAGTACTGCGGCAGCTCTCTGGTCCTGGAGCCGCTGGCATTGCTGCACACAATGGGCAAGAAGATGGGCAGTAGGTACCAACCTCAAGTGCACAAAATCCACTCAGCGCAGAGAAATGAACACAGTGCCCTGGATGGGCGAGGGGCAGGGAGGACATTGGTGCTGGGGGCAGG